GATAACCCTCGATTTGTGGTCGGCTCTCTTTCGATAGTCGTGCAAGATGAAAGGGCGCACAAATTTGGATTCGCGGTGAAAGGCGTGGCAGGACACAAACTGTGCGCTTTGTGTCAGAACGCTTGCTCCTACTGGAGCCACCTGCTCCCCGACAGCACTGGCTTCCTTGCTTCTAGCGACGAGGTCGACATCACAAAGTTCAGGCCTCACACTCATGCTAGTATCACTGGTATACAGATGCGCCTGAAGCAATTGGCAGAGGCAGGAGACAAGCAGGAGCTTGATAACAAGCAAGTGCTATTCGGATTTCTGTATTGCCCCACTGGTGTACTCCAGGACCGCGACCTCGACGTCAACTTAGCAGATGTATGGGCGTGGGATTGGTTACACACTTACTTCCAAGGCGGTGTGTTTACTGTGGAGGCAAGAGCATTGTTTACCCGCCTGGCGCCATATCGATTGGGTGGTAAAGAGTTCAGCGGGTACCTCTCTCATTGGGTGTGGCCCAAAGGCTATGCATCAGGCGCCAACGTGTGCTCGAAAAGGAATGACTTCCTTCCGAGTGGGAACGCCAGTGAGCAACAGTCGTGCGTCCCTGTCATTGAAAAATTCTTGGTCTCTGTAGTGGGACCTGCAGGCTTCTGCGAGAAAGAAGTGGCAAGCGGCATTTCGTTGTGCATTGTTTCTCGTCTCCTCTCTTTGGTCAATACAGGAGTTGTCAGCGCTGCAGCTCTCGGAGCTGCAATTTCGACGCATCTGGTGAACTTGAAAGCAGCCTACGAACTCGAGGTGTGGCTTCCGAAGACCCACACTACGCTCCACTTGCCGTCACAACTGCTCCGCCATGGGTGTTTGCTTTCTACGCACCTCATGGAAAGAAAGCACAAGCTGTTCAAACGATACGCAGATGATCGCCACAATACGCGAGGTTACGAGTTGGGACTTCTTGAAGAGACAACGGTTCACCAATTGTACAAGTTACGTGAGCCTATAGTTGGTGATGGATTGGTGGACCAGCTGGAAGCTAAACAAACACTCAGAGATGCCGTTGCCGCCTGTGGTATGTGTGTGAGCCCCCTTATGCCAATCAAGACTTCAAACTCTGCCCGAGTGCAGAGCAGGGTTGTTGTGGTGGACGATGTCGTTGCATACTTTGGAGCCGATGGTGCAGTATTATATGGTAAGGTTCAGTTTCACATTCAGGTTGGAGAACATGTGTACACGTGCGTAACACAACGGCGCGCCTTTGACAGTGATGAGATCAGCGTAAGATGTATAGTCCAGTATGCCCCCACCTTGATCCAGACAAGGCTCATCATCGAGCCGTGCGTGTTTAGGACTGTTCCCGAGGGAACGGCATGCGAGGTTCTCGTTCCAGGTAGGCTCAGGTAGGGGAAGCGTACGGCTGAGTGACATCGATAAGGGCACAGCTTGAACCTATCATTCCTCTATCTCATCCTCCTGTTCTTGGGAGGGCGGTTCCCTTTTGCAAAAATAGGGCCTTCGCTTGAGACGTCCAGCGCCTCCCAAAAAAGGTGAAAACGTGCAGAAGCTTCACGGATGGAGGGCTGAGCCTTTTCAAATACTGAGCTCTCGTTTGCTATGTCTGCCTGCCCCATGTCGACAAGTACGCTTATAACAACGCAGGTTTTCGCAGAACACTTGACATATTCTGGGCCAGATGGGGGCAACATTTGAAAAAAAACAATAGGATACAATGCAAAATCCCACTTGGTTGATCCCGAATCCTACAGTTAGCAACCTCGCTAACCTAGTTAACCGCAACCACCCTAAACAGGTTAGCTCGTGCAGCTAACCAGGTTAGAAACTCCATGCGAAACCACTTCGTAAGGTGGTTAACTATCCTCATTACATCTAGGTTAGCTAAGCAGCGTACGGCGCTAGCAACCATAACTATCTGAGCTATGTGCTAAGGAACCGCCATGAGCATCCAAGCAGAGCGGCCTCCGGCACCGTTTCCGGACAGATCCGGTGGATCCGCTGGATCCGGTGACGAATCCCAAACCGGCGCCCTCGCTTGAGACATCCTCACAAAACCGGCCCCGGGGGAGGTGCCCAGAGGAGCCCAGAGCGGCCTCCGGCACCGTTTCCGGACAGATCCGGTGGATCCGCTGGATCCGCCGGTGACGAATCCCAAACCGGCGCCCTCGCTTGAGACATCCTCACAAAACCGGCCCCGGGGGAGGTGCCCAGAGGAGCCCAGAGCGGCCTCCGGCACCGTTTCCGGACAGATCCGGACAGATCCGGTGGATCCGCGCCCCGGGGGAGGTGCCCAGAGGAGGAATGAGGAGGAGGAGGAGGAGGAGGAGGAGGAGGAGGAGGAGGAGGAGGAGGAGGAGGAGGAGGAGAAGATGATGGAGCTGCGGGGTGGAGGAGGACAGACGGAGGCAAGAGAAGGATGGAGGAGGAGGAGGAGGAGGAGGAGGAGGAGGAGGAGGAGGAGGAGGAACCTCATCCTCACCCTCGCCAACAAGCGCACGCACCTTCTTCTATATACAGAAACTCCCGATCAACCGCAGAGCGGCCGGCTAGTAATTGAGATCGGTAGTGGGTTCGATCGTACGATCGGTATCGGGAGCGATAGTGAGGATCGATGGTGAGATCGATTGTGCGAACTTTGCGGTATTGTCAATGAGATCTGATGTGAGATCGACGATGAGATCGATCGTGAGATCTGCTGTGCTGCAGCCCTGTCTGCAGCCTGGCGGTAGCGCACTCCTCGGAATCAGGTGCGCATGAAGACCCGAACGTGGGCCAGACTGCGCTGATAGCGGTGGGACGCTTCACTGGTGGCCGCCTGTGGACGTACGAGTTCGCCGCCGACTAGATCAAAACACATGCCGTCAAATATCAATTCTTTCTATTTGGCGCCAGGGCGCCGCACGGCACATGTGCCTTTCCAAGGGGCCCTTGGTTTACACTGACGGCGTACGTGCACGTGCGCGCGCACGCAATCAACGCACAAGCTGCTGGGCAGCTTCGCAATCTTGTGTTCTGGTTGCCCGCCGATGGCCCGGCACGGGCTGTGCCGGGCGAAACGTCGGGAACGCAGCCGCAGCGCTTGCGCAAGGCGCGCGCGGCATGGCGGCGCTGCAGCCGGCGTGGCAAGCGGCACAGGTGCGTGTCCCAGCCCGGCCGCGCGCCTGGTCAGCATCGGGCTTCGGTGTGAATATGTCTCCATTGCGGGCGCATGGTGCCCAGCACGCAGGCAGGCCGAGCAAGATACGTAAGTGCAACGAGTGTGTGCTCCAACAGCAGCGGGCGCGAAGGGGCAGGGAGACGAACTAAACTAGGCGCATGTTCTGCCAGGCACTGCCGTGACTAGGCTTAGAGAAGAAAGAGTGCGAGTCATCGATGCTACGACCGCCGCCCCCAGAGCCAGTTGCCTTTTATTATGGTAAGACGGAATTCGTGGCGGTAATGTCCGTCGTGGTGGGATTTTTTGGCCCGCCAGTCTTCCGATTATGTCCCGATATTGCTCCGCTGGTGTCCCGATCGTGCTGAACGCCACTCGATGTGAGATCGATAGTGAGACCTGTCGAGAGGTCGATCATGGGATCAGAAGTGAGGTATATTGTGAGACGGATCGTCGGATCGATAGTGAGAACGATTGTGAGATCGATACTGAGATCGATCATGCAATCAATAGTGAAACCGGTAGAGAAATCAGTCGATTAGAGTCAAATGCGAGGGCGCATTCATGTGGTGTCAGCTCCATCGCGGCTTTGTCCCCTTTCACCGATATTCATTTTCACCATGAGCGTCATCGTGCAATGTCGCCATCTCATCGCAATCACAATCATCGCAGTTGCTCTCAGTGGGTTCTCCTTTCCACCCGAACCTCATCATCACCTGAAGGGTGGTCGTATAGGTACGGATCTGTTTCCCGCCCACGACATTATTTAGGAGGCAAATGCTGCAATATTTTTGTAAAAACGATCCAGAACTTCCAGGCCCGAGTAGGTTGCCATTCAGTCCTGACCAGCCCGGGTAATGCCCAAGACTGTACCAGACTAAGCTGGACTAAAAGAGACTCAACACGGATTGGAAGGGATAAAGCGGGATTCGGCCGGATTCGGCTGGTTTTCGATCGCAGAGATACCAGCGCAAAAGCTGAAATAAATCCCACCAGAAGTTGCACCCGGAAAAGGACGGACTGACATGAGAAAACTGATAGTACTAAATTCAGAATCGGTGGCCGCGAATTCTGGGCAGATATCATGGCCCCAGTCATGATACCCCCGAGCCCCCGAGTCCCGAGTCATCACCCCCCTTTGGGCCGCCGGCCCTGGCTCACCCCCCTCCCTTCCAACTCCAGGGGCGGACACCAACGTCCAGGACCCGCTTCCCTCAGGACCGTCGTCTTTCCTGCCGAGATGAAGCGTTTGGATGCTTCTGGTCCTGTTCGGGTCTCCAGGCGCCTCTGGGGGCCTCCAGGGACTCTGGATATCGGTGGCGCCGACGGGGAAAGGGGGGGCTCCATCCTGCCCCTGAGCATTCTGGGCGGGTGGAGCAGGAGGGGAGGAGAACGACGACGCCGACCGGCAGCGCTTGAGCCTGGTGTGCGCCATCTTGGCCTCGCCTGTGGCCACCAGGGGCCTCCGTGGCAGCCCCGGAGACACGGGGGGCCCTGCCAACCTCCGTCGGCACCCAAGCTGGGGAGACCGAGCGGCACCGCTACTGCCACCCCCCTGGACCTCTCCAGGGGTGCGTTCCGACTGGGATTTCGCGCCGAATCCAGCTGTGGCGACGAGGGAAGGAAGGGCAGGGGTATCGGCATCCTCTCATGCGGCATCCTCTCCTCCTCAGACAAACGGGAAAGACGACAGCGACGGACAACGATAACGACGGACGACGACGACGACGACGACGACGACGACGACGACGACGACGACGACGACGACGACGGCAGCAGCGGCGGCGGCGGCGGTGACGACGACGACGACGACGACGACGACGACGAGAGACGCCCCTCGCGCCTCGGGACCTCCGGTCCAGCTCCGAGCACAGCACCCGGTGGTGTCCCACCGCCAGCTGCGCGCTCCTGCGCGCCGGCGCGCGGCGGCGGGGGCGGGAGGCCGGCCGTCTGCGGCGGCCCCGCGCCATGGGCACGGCGGGCAGCCGTGCACCAGCGCCGTTGCCTGGCCGGGGCCGTCCTGATCGGGAGGCTCTCGTGGGCACGATTCGCGGGTTCTCCGCGCCGCGCACCGTCGCGTGTGCCACAGCATGCCTGCGCGCACCCACCGCACGCCGGCGAAGACCACGAGAGCCTGCCGAGCGCTGCAGGACGCCCGTGGGCGCCAAGAGACGACCGCCGTGGCATGTGATCTGGGGGGGGATTCGGTGGCCACTCCTTTCTGGTGTCATCTTGCCGTTCCTTCTTCCTCATCCCTTCTCCTTGCTCCGTCGTCCTTTGATCCTGATGATTGTGCCTGCTACAGGGTTTACCATGCCTGCTCTCACAATTATCCTTTACCCCCCTCGTTCGCCCCATCATCTTGTTCCTCCTGCTGTTGCTCCTCATCGACTGTGCTGCTCCCCATCCTCCACCTCATCTTCCTCCTCGTCCTCCTCCTCGTCCTCCTCCTCCTCCTCTTCCGAATATGTATCGTACTCCTCTTGCATATCCTGCTGCTGATACCATTTTTTCTGCGCTGATGTTCTCATTCAGGCGCTAGGGCTTCCGTCGGTGTGAGGCCGTTTTGGCTCTCTCTGGTCGCGTCCGCGCCCTACCCGAGCAGCGCTTTCTTCACCTCTACCATGAGCTTTGTACACGAGGCGGGGATGTGTACATAGAACACCCGGACCCGAGGGGGCTCTCAATACGGATACGCTGGGGCGGACCTGTGGCTGGGCTTCCGCCTTCGCCTTAGCCTTCGCTTTCGCCTTAGCAATGTTTTGGACGCCCGATATGGGTACGGAGAGAAATGGGTACAATGCCCAGCATCAAATGTTGTCCCAAACCAACAGCGGCCGCTGTTGGACATGCGGCCTTCTGTCTCGAATGGACACAGGCCGCGGCGGCGCGGACAGCGAGTCCTGTTCAAAATGAACAGGAATTGCTGTTGGGCATTGTACCCATTCTTTCCGTGCCCATCTCGTTCGTGGAGAGCGGTTCCATGGACGCGCGGAAGTGGATGTAGCCCGCCATCGGCCTCGTCAAAAACCTCCACTCCGCCGCCGCCGCCGCGGGGGGCCCAGCGCCGATCCGAGAGATCAACGCGGAGCTCCGACCAACCACGTACTGACTAAATGCGTTGCGTCGTTCCTCGTGCTTCTCTCTTTTTGAGCAGGGATCGAAAGCCCTGGCATTCCGAAGGCCTTCCACGACATGCTAAAGAACAAACCGATGTTCTAAGCACGTCTCGGGCAAGAAGTGACACATTCCTTGTGGGAGCTACATGCGATTCAAGACATGTCGCCACTGCTTGGAGGCTGCCGGGGGGCTTGACTGGTTGGGACCCCAGAAAAATCGGTCAAGAGGCAGGGGCGACGGCAAACCGCTTCAAAGCGGTCCCTCGACCCCTCCCAAAGTCCACCTGGTGTAATTTTTCACCCTGGATCCGTTTCTGAGGGTCCAGGGGCCCGAAAACGGCTCCAACAGGCTGAAAAGGACAAAACGCTGTACCGAACCGGGAATCTCGAGCCTGTTCCCCCCCTCCCTGCTCGCAGGTACCACTGCTGAGCCACCTCGAACACCCCAGCCAACCCCAAGTCTTAAGTCGGGCCTGTTCTGAAAGCGTGTAGCGCCAGCATCAAAAAAAAACAAGCTCTAGAACATTCTCTGGTGGGGCTACAATTAGGTCGGGCGTGTCCTCCTACAGAACGATTATAGAAAGAACATGAAAAGTAGTCACTGAATACTCCCAAACATCTTAAAAAATGCTGGAAACTCGCCCTCATATCATTGTTGGCCTATTTTGGATATCCCTCCTGTAGAGGGACAGGCCCGACTTAAGGCTACAGGCGAGCCCGGACGCTTCGGCACTGCCTCCAGGCGGCCGGCGGTTCGCGGGGAGTGCGGCGCCGCCGGCGGGCGGGCGCCGGAGCCCCGGGCGGGCCGAGAGGTCACGTCCCTGGCTCGAAGGGGGGGCCGATCACCTCCGCGCAGGGGGCCGGGGCGCTGCCGGGCGGCTCCTCTGGGAGGAGGAGGAGGAGGAGGAGGAGGAGGAGGAGGAGGAGGAGGAGGAGGAGGACAAGGCAGGCGTACAAAGGCGACGACGGGGGGAGGAGAGGAGAGGAGGGAGGAGGAAGGAGGAGGAGGAGGAGAGGGGAGGAGGAGGGAGGAGGGAGGAGGAGGAGGAGGAGGAGGGAAGGAGGAGGAGGAGGAGAGAGGAGGAAGGAGGCCGAACGGGAGGAGGAGCAGGACAAGCAGCGTACCACGACGACGAGGAGGAGGAGGAGGAGAGGAGGAGGAGGAGGAGGAGGAGGAGGAGGAGGGGGAGGAGGAGGAGGAGGAAGGCAAGCGACGACGACGACAGGGAGGAGAGGAGAAGGAAGAGGAGAAGAGGAGGAGGAAGGAGGAGAGGAGGAGGAGAGGAGGAGGAGGAGGAGGAGGAGAGAGAGAGAGAGAGAGAGGGAGGAGGAGAGAGGAGGAGGAGAGAGGAGGAGGGAGGAGGAGGGAGGAGGAGGAGGAGGAGGAGGAGATGGAGGAGGACGGGCAAGAAGAGGAACGAAGCGGAGGAAGAGAACGATGACGAGGAAGCAGTACGGCAAGGAGCGCGAGGAAAACGACGTCGAAGAAATGGGGTTCCTCTTGATCTTCCGAGGCTATCCTGGGGGCTGCTTGGGCCGTCTGGGGCTATCTTGGCGCATCCTGGGGGCCCCTTGGGACGCAGAAGGACATAGTAGTACGTTGTGTCCTCCTTGGAGGCGCGCGTCCGACCAGATCGTGCAGTGCAACAGCCTTGCAGCATATCGTTACCCCAGCGAAATGGCCAGACGGCGCTCGCCACCTAGCATCTACTGTAAGACTTCTGAGCGCGCGCGTCGCGCCCCTTTGGGGACCGCGCACATGCAGCAGAGCTGTTCAGTGGTGACGCCTGGAGCTTAGTGGGCCCTGGAAACGACAGGGCCGTTTTTTCACCAGCTCCGCTTTGCCGTTTTTGTTGCCGGTTCCGACGCCGTTGTTTCACCGGCTCCGTCGCCGCTGTTTTACCTGTTCCGGCTCCGGTTTCAATCCCGGAGCAGTTTCTGTTGCCGTTTCCGCTCGCCGTTTTCTTGCCGCTTCCATTTTCAAGCCACTTTTTTGGAATGCGATCGATCCCGCGGATGCGCGGTCGCACGGATGCGTTCCGCGCGGATCACCCGTGGCAAACCTGCCCCGTACCGCGGGGTCGCGGCCCAGGGGCCCGGCCCGCGAGGCCGCTGATACGAACATGTTTTACGCCCGCGAGCATGGTCGGGCGTGGGTTGACCCCGCTCAGCGCTCAAATTTCACAACGAAAACGCACTGCTTCTTTTTTTTGGGGGGGGGCCGAAGCTACGTAGGCCCAGCCAAACTGCAAAGCCGCCTCCGTGGCCGCGAGCGGCTCTCCCACCGGGCTCGGCCAAGATGCAGCCCTGCAGGGCCTGCAGGATCCTGCAGGCTCCGGCGCCCTGTCCGACCCCCCATCCAGCGCTGAGCCCCACTGCGTGTGTGTACCCCGACTGTCGGGAGCGGCCAAGAGGGGGGTGTCCACGAGGGGGGGAGTGCAAATCATGACCAGCGGCATGTGCGCGGCCCAGCGGGGGGACCAGGGACGTAATGAAATAAGAAGGGGCGACATGAAATCTGGGGAAATATCATGGCCCCCGCCATGATATCCCCCCCCCCTAGTCATCACCCCCCTCTTTGCCGCCCCCGAGACTGGGGCAGGGGCCGATCGCTCCGGCGCTCCTGCGGGGCCCCTGCGAGATGCTCTCAGAGCGACGAGGAGGAAGCAACTTCTGGGAGGTGCTCGCCAGAACGACTCTGAACTGTGAGGGGTAGCTATGAAGATGATGATGATGGGCCATGGCGACGAATCCACACAGATTCAGCGCAGGATTGAAACCATGATCAGCCAGATTCAGCGGGATTCGAAAAACTTGAATAGGACTATCTGACAGACTCGGGCGTCTCAACCACGGATATACCTGCGCCGATGTTGAATGTAACCAAATCTGCATCCAGAACGCGATGATTCACTAGCCAGTCCAACAGCCAAGAAGCACAAATACTCGCAGATCGCAGAAGCTGAATGCTTCAAAACATCACAACACCGTGTCGGACAGAAACTTCTTTAGAACACGTCGCAATCCACAAAAGGCTTCTAGGAGCATTGCTTGGCGTGCCCGCGTTGCAGGCGGCCAGCGGGTCCTGGATTGGATGGACCTTGAGAAATCTGACAGAAAAACAGATAGAGGCAAACCCGCTCAAAATCTGTCCCCGGAACCTTCCTGGGGTCCATCCAATGCAATTTCTCACTCCAAATCCGCTTGTTTGACGGCCCCCGGGTCGATACTGCTCCCCGAGAGGTAGGAAAGGGTAACGAACCTTCCTCGAACCGAGAACCTCGCACCTCTTCCCCCCGTGCTGGGACGCCTCCGATCCTCAGCCGGCTTCAAAATCCTTGGGGCATGTGCGAGTGGGCCCACGGGCGAGCAGGGTCGCTTCTCCACTGCCAGATCCTCCGCGTCCCTGTGGCGCCGCAGCCCGGCAAGCTCCAGTGCCGCGGGCGCCTCGCGGGCCGCCCGGGGCATGTCCCCGAGCGGCAGCGCGGCCAGGAAGGCCGCCAGCCCGACGGCGGCCATGGCCAGGAAGGGCCCGCGGACGCTGCTCCTGGTGGCGCGCACAAGCCTCTCGGGAGGGGGAGTGCGGGAGGGCACGGAGATGGTGGCGATGCAGGGGCGGGCGCGGGTGGTCGGACCTCGAGGGGGGGGTCCCGTTCGAGCGGGGGCCCCCATCCGACAACACACGTCCATGGCCCCCCGCAGAATGCCAGCCCGAGGAATCAAGGGGTCGCATAGGTGGGGGTGCTAGTGGTGCTAGTTGTCAGATATTGAGCTCCAGGAGCTCAACTCACCGCGGTGTGTGGCGCCCCTGAAGAGGTAGCCGAAGAAGAGGAAGCCGACGGTGGCCGAACCCCTGCCGATGGACAGGAGAGAGAAACGACTGCCCAAACATAAACTTCTGGAGGCCCGCGCGGAGCCTCCGAAATGGAGGGACAAAGAGGAACCGATGATCCTCCCTGTCGGGTGTTGCTAGAAATTCTCCTGGCCCAAGGTACCCCGAAGATTCTCGGGGTGGCCCAAACGGCCTCCAGGGCACCCCTCACGAGGCCCAGAGGGCCCTAGGGGACCCAAAATGGAGCGGAAAGCTGGGGGTACCTTGAGCCAGGGGCACTTCTAGCAACACCCGACCTTGGGCCTTCCCATCGTTACGTTCTGACAATGGGTTCGAAGCGGATCCAGCGCGGCCACGAGGGCAGAGTTAGCGGTATCGATCTCTCTTCCCCTTCTAACAAGAGTTTATGTCTATGCCGTCTTATCTCCTTCGAGATGGAGGCGATGGCGCCCTGAACCAGGCCCTGCTCGTCAGCAGCCACGAGGTTGCTCTTGATCGCCGAGACCACCGGCACCGAGACCAACAGCGGGCCAGCCAGGAGGAAGCTGAGAAGCATCACCTGCCACACATCAGTGCACGCGGCCAGGAGCGCTGGCTGGCGGCGCCCACAAAGAGATCCCAGGCCTCCGACGAACTGCTTCTTTCAACCAGCAGTGTGTGTTAGATTTCGGCTCTCGGGGGCCGTGCCTGGGCTGGGTCTGAAGGGAACAACTGGCCCCAGGGACGTGAGCGAGAGCCCTGGCATTGAAAACACACCTCGATGGCTGTCGCTGGGGTGGCGCCAGGGGGTGGGCTTCTCAGTAGCGGCGTTTGAGAAGACGGCGGGTCTCCTCAGAGAGCAGGAGGGCCTTCCCAGAAGCCAGGCCGCCGGGCGCCTAAAAGAGGCCATCCTGAGAGCGATTCTTTATGTTCGGCGATGACGAGCGTCATGGGGGGGGGCGGGGGGGGTATGACGTAACGCCCCCCCCCCTGCTGTGTGGCTCCGGCACCACAGCCGCGCCCGCGCACACGACGCGACCACCGACGAGCGACGACGACGACGACGACGCGAGCAGCATGTAGGTGGCGATCTGTCCACCTGCGCCTGTGTACAACACAACGCTCGCGTGCACCACAGCGCCTGCGTACATCGCAACAGCCGTGTGCAACGCAGCGCGTGTGTACACTGCAGTCCTTGCGTGCACTACAGCGCCCGTGTACATGTGCACACCGGAGGCAACCATGTGCAACACAGCGCCTGTGTACAGCACAATGTTTGCGTGCACCGCGGCCCCTGTGCACGCCACGACGCCTGTCTACACACACCACAGCATCCGCGTGCAACGCAGCGCTATTGCACACCACGGCGCCTGCGTGTATAGGACAGGTAGAAGGAGCCTCTACGTGAGCATTTGCTGCAAAAACGCCACGCCGGGAAAGTGCTAATAATCGAATGCGACGTTTTTCCATTTTCCCTTCTCCTCCACTTCCACCTCCTCCTCCTCCTCCTTTTTCTCTTTCTCCTCCTCGGGCGGCCAATTTAGCTGGAGCCTCCTGGACGCAGACGGGAGGAGTTACGGTGATGCGGGCGAAGTCGGAAGGACTCATAGATTCCCCTGGCGATCCGTTGTCCATAATCATTAGTTTCTGGTGTTTTCGGTGGAATCCACAAATGCTCCATTTTGTTTTAGGTATTCCTTCTAACATTCTACATACAACAGTGGGGCTGTGTTGCACACAGCTGCTGTGGTGCACACAAGCGCCGTGGTGCACACAGGCACTGCAATGGACGCAGGCATTGTGGTGTACACTGCTGTGTTGCACACGGCTTATGTGGTGTACGCACGCGCTGCGGTGTACACAAGAGCTGTTGTGCCCGCGCGCGCGGTGGCACAAACTGACGCTGTGTTGCACGCGGCTGCTGTGGTGTATATCGGCGGTGTGGTGTATTCAGGCGCTGTGGTGCACGTAGGCACTGAGGTGTACACAAGCGTTGTGGTGCAGATCGCCACCTACATGCTGGTGCCACCCGTCCTTCGTCATTCCTATAGGCATTCCCAGGCGCCGCCGGCGCGAAGCGTGACGTCATCGACCCCGTCCACCCCCCCAGATGATTGCCGTCATCGGCCCGGAATAAACAAACAGACTCCAGCCGCGTCCGCGCGCACGACGACGATGAGCGACGAGCAACGAGCCATGAGTCACGAGCCACGACCGACGACAACGACGACGACGACGACGACAACGACGACGACGACGTCTGCGGACCAGACTCCTATGCGGATTCCTACGCGGACACCTACGCGGATTCCAATACGCACGGCGGCAGTGCCCAGAGCGCACTGGGGGGGGAGCGTTACGTCATAGGGGGGGGGGGGGGGGGGGGCGGGGGCCATGACGCCTGTCATGCCCCAAGTACTAAAAAAATGGTCTCCTTAGGAGCCGCCGGGCCCCTCTGACGAGCCCCCCGCCTTCTGATCCGCCGCCTCCTTGGAAACCCACACCCCTTGCGCTACCTCTGTGCGGACGCCGCCAGGCTGGGAAGAGCGCTGAGAACCCCAGGCTCAGCTGCAGCACCCGCACGTCCCCGAGCCGGGCCATCAGCGGCCTGAGCAATGCTTCTCGGTCGGTTTCGTTGTGTTTCGTTGTCCCTCGGTGTGTCTTCGTTCCGCGTTTGCTGCAAAGCGAAGTCGGAACGAAAGCGGCCAACGAAATCACCAGAAACCGTGTGGGCGAGCCCTGGGCCTCAGCACCAGCAGGAAGGTCACGATAGCCGACGCGGCGGCGCCCAGGAACAGGGCCAGCTTCTCCCTCCTGCCGAACCCCAAGTAGCCCTCCAGGAACGGCGGCATAACTATCGCGTAGCCGGATGCCCCCAAGCCAGATAGCAAAAGAAGAACAAAAAACAAACATCAACTGAAGTCCACGCGGATCTCTTGGATCGGCGCTGGACTCTCCTGCCTGGCGCACGGGGCGCGCCAGGGGCGGCACCAGAGGCACCGCCAAGGGGGCCCAGCACGGATCCAAGAAATCTGCGAGGACCTCCGAGCATGCATGTTTGTATGATTTGTCATTCCTCGAGGTTCGGGGGTGGACAGAGGCCCCCTTCGCACGACACCCTTTGATGAAAACGACCCCGGACCAGACCCAGCGAGCGCAGGCCCGCAACACAGGCGCCGCAACGCTCTCTCGAGGGCCGGAGACATGCAATTCGCTGGACGACTTGCCAGGCTGGGGCTACTCGTCGGTGAAGAGCATATCCGTATCCACGGGCTCGCGAGCCGGGCTCCTGGGCAGCGACCCAGCGGATACGGGGCACTGTTTCGCGGATGGCCCGCCGGGAGCGTATCCGTGAGACCGCGTATCCGCGGGCTCTCGCAGGAAGTTGATGTATGGATACTCGACGGCGAGCGAGGGGGGAAGTGAAAAGGGACGGGCCTTCTCAGAAGGCTCGGAGTCCCCAAGGCCTTCGGAAAAATGTCATAAGCGTTCCCCGAAAACGCAGAACACTGAGGGCCACTGAGAAGTCCCTGAGAAGTCCCGCGCCCTCTGAGAAGTCCCGCCGCCCTCTGAGAGGGCCTTCTCCTTCTCACCTCTCCCCCTCGCTCGCCGCCGAGGAGTGAGTCCACACTTGCGCAGGGGACCCCCGCATGGAACTGCGCACTCCGCGCCGAAGAGCGCACGACGCGCGGGCATGCTCGCGCCTCGCGCGGCCTCCTGGAGAAGACATCGCCCGCCGCCTGGATACGGTCGCCGCTCGTGAACTCTGTCAACCTCCGCGAGATAGGGCCAGTACCAGCGCCATGCGGGCGATGATGATGGGCCGATTTTCCACCACCACTACCACTGGTTGGAGAGGGAGGAGGAGGAGGAGGAGAGGAGGAGGAGGAGGAGGAGGAGGAGGAGGAGGAGGAGGAGGAGGAGGGGAGAGGAGGAAGGAGGAGGATGGAGGAGGAGGAGGAGGGGTAGGAGGAGGAGGAGGAGAAGGAGGAGGACGAGGAGGAGGAGGAGGAAAAGGAGGAGGAAATGGACCTCCCCGTCCTCCCTTCTCCCCTACCTTACCTGTGGTAGCGGTGGCGGAAAGTTGGCCCATCAGGTGAACCCGTCCCTGGTCAGTAGGCGGAGGGCCTCCCGCGCCGCCCCGAGCGGCCTCGGGCGCGGCGGGGGCCCGGGGCCCCCGGGCACGAGCCCGGCCGTCTCGGGGAAGCAGACGACCGGGTGCTGCCAGCGGGGTCCCTGGCCCGAGCCGTTTGGGGGCCCCTCCTCGATCGAGGATCCTGGGCTGGGGGGATCGAGGCTCGAAGATCGGGGGTCGAGAAAAACGAGGCTCGACTGTCGAGGATCGAAGTTCGGCGCGAGGGAGCGAAGGGATCGACTGGGGGGCCCTCTCAGCCTCGTGAGGGGTCCGCTCTGGACTGGGCCTCCCTGGGGATCTCGGGGCCACCCTGCGCCAGGGGCCACTCTGGCAACACCCGAGACGAACAGGTAGAGCACCTTCGTCGCGCCAGCCAGCAGCGAGAAGGCCAGCGCGAAGCGGCGGGGCACCAGGAAGGCCAGGGGCGTCAGGACCAGGAGCAGCAGCAGCATCCCGCCGATGAAGGCCCCGTAGGCGCCGGCGCGCTCCTCCTGCTGTGGCACCAGGTCGCTCACGAGCGCCAGGTAGACGCCGCTGACGTCGAAGGCCTCCACGGCCGGCTGGGCCAGCAGGAAGGGCCAGAGGCTGACGCCGAGCTCGACGTGCAGCGCCAGGGCGACGAGTGGCGCCAGGTTCAGCACACCGAAGCTGCGTATCAGAGGCCGCCGCCCCACGCTGTCGCTGTGGAGCCCGAGGCTGACGGCCAGCAGCATCGCGCCCGCGTGCGAGGCGGCCCCGGCCCAGCCCCTGTAAAGCGCGGCGTCGGCGGCCCCCTCGCGGCAGGCGTCCGCCTTCGGCGTCGCCTCGCAGTCCTCGGCCCCGCCTTCGGTGGCAACTCATGGGAGCCTCCCATACCATCTTGTCGGCTCAGGCGAATCGACGCTAAATCGAAGCTAATCGACTCTAAATCGGTGCTGATCGACGCTGAATCGGCGCTATCTCATCGACTCCCAGACGCTGATCGGCGCCAGTCGACGCTGCAGACAGAATTCGGAGGGCACACCCGGCTCCCATACTTTGCTATGCCGAACCGGCCGTGGCCGGCCGCGAAGAACGTGTTCTCGAGGTACGGCACGCTCGGCTGGATCGTGTGCTGGAGCGCGCCGAGGGCCACAAGCAGCAGCAGGAAGCGCGCCCGCCACAGGTGCTCCTGAGCATCGTTTAACCGATCCTCCTTCCCAGCGGCGTGGCCTGGGCTCCCCTGACCGATTTGACCCCCCCGGATGGGGATATTAGGCCGCTCCCTTCGGGCTTCGAGGGGTGTGTTACCCCCAACTGGGAAAGTACTTTGGTGGGGGTCTCGAAGGGGATGAGGTTGGGGATGAGGGCTGGTTGATTTTTTTTGTGCCCGGACAGAACACCTGGGCGACACCCAGGTGTTCTGTCCGGGCACAAAAAAACGAGGAGAAGGAGGAGAAGGAGGAGGAGGAGGAGCAGGAGAGAGAGGGAGGAGGAGGAGGAGGACTAGGAGGAGGAGGCGGAGAGAAAGGGAGGAGGAGGCCGAGGAGGAGCAGCAGGAGGAGGAGGAGAAGGAGGAGAGGGAGGAGAGGGAGGAGGAGAGGGAGGAGCAGGAGGAAGGAGGAGGAGGAGAGGAGGAGGAGGAAAGAGGAGGGGGTAGAAAAGGAGGAGGAGGAGGAGGAGGAGGAGGAGATACGCTGAGCTCCAACGCGCTGGCGCCCATGGCGCCGCAGGCGCGCGGCCGCCGGCGGGCGGCGCCCCCGCCGCCATCCGGGCGGGCGGTGCGCGGGCAGGGGCGCGGGGCCTGGCGGGCCCTCTGGAGGCCCTCGGGCCCACGGCTCTGCAAGCCCCCTCCTCCTCTCCTCCTCCTCCTCCTCCTCCCTCCTCGCTCTCCATCCCTTCCTCCTCCTCCTCCTCCTCCTCCATCCTCCTCCTCCTCAACCCTCCTCCTCCTCTTCCCCTCCTCCTCCTCCTCCCCCTCCTCCTCCTCCGCCTCATCCTCCTCCCTCATCCGCCTCCTCCTCCTCCTCCTCCTCCTCCTCTTCCTCCACGCCAAGCCAGGACACCCAAAACATCTTTGGACGCCCGAAATGGGTACGGAAAGAATGGGCACAATGCCCAACGACAAATGTTGTCCCAAATTAACGGCGGCCGCTGTTGGGCAGGCGGCCTTCTGTCTCGAATGGACACAGGCCGCGGCGGCGTGGGCAGCGAGTCCTGTTCAAAATGAACGCGATCCGCTGCTGGGCATTGTACCCATTCTTTCCGTGCCCATTTCGCTCGTGCAGAGTATCGCTCGAAACCAAATCTTCCAGACGGCGGCGCGAGCAACACACTGCCCTGCAGCATGTCTCCACAGGAAACTAAGGCGTACAGGCCCTCGAAGCCTGCGAGACCCAAGCCTGGGCACGTACCCCAAGCCTGCAGGGCAGCAGACACCACATGCACGGGTGCTGGACAAAAAAGCGATGTTGCAAGGCAAAAAAAACAGTTTTTGGGGCTTTCCGTGTCCTGGTCAATCTGTGTCCTGGTCTCCGGGGGCCTGAGGGCCCCTGCACCAAGTTGGCCTGGCTGCTGGGATACAGTTGCCCCGTACAGGAAGGTTGCGCGGTAAGGATGCAAGGGCCTTGGAAAGCCGCTATGTTGACGCTGTTCGAGTAGGGCTGGCCAGCGATAGTTGCCAAAGATGGACCGAAGGGGCAATGATGCAAGGGCAACCTTGGAAAACCTCCTTATCCTTACTATGCGGGTTGTCTGTAGAATGATGGATCTGGGGGGACCTTCCTGCAGCCACCCGCTCCACTTGTGCGCCGATGCTGCGCTGAGCGTCCGCCGCCTTGCGTCGAGCTTGGGTCGACCACGGGTCGAACTGAAGCTGAACTGGAGCCGATGAAACGTCGACCTGGGGCCGAACAGGTCCTCCAGGTGGGCCCCAGCCAGGTGCCCCGAGCGAAGATCTGACCGGGACGGCGCGGTCGGAGCGCGGCGGGGAGGGTGCGCGGCGAGGGCGCGCTGGCTCACGAGCGGCGAAAACGGTCCGCAGCCTCGCCCTCGCGGTCTGGACTCCGCGCCGCGATCCCATGGATGCCCGGTCGCGGCCCGGGGGCTCGGCCCCCGAGGCCGCGGATCCGGACTTGTGCTTCGCTCGCAGGGGGTTCGGTGGTTGCCATCGCACTTGAGGACCGCCTCCCGGCAATCATGTCGAGCACCCAGACAAGTGTCGAAACAAGGTCGAACGAGTATGGCCTCCCAGGGTCCGATACGTGAACCGCCTCCAATTTCGGCACTTTCTTGGTTTCCGAGATTCTTTCTGGTGATCGATGCTGCAGTAGAAAGGAGTATCAAAACAAGAGGCTTGCCCTTGACTCCTCCGTTCCATGGGCCATGCGCGCCGACCGCCGCGAGGGAAGCGCGCCGTGGGGCGCACCACCCGAGAGACCGCCACGGTTCCTCGAGGCGGCGCTCCTGCACCTGGAGCGGCAGTGTGGCCCGCCTGGCGCCTGAAGCCCTCGACGCCCCCCCCCATCTGGCGCGCGTCCTGCTCCTCCTCCTCCTCCTCCTCCTCCTCCTCCTCCTCCTCCTCCTCCTCCTCCCCTCATCCTCCTCCTCCTCCCTCCTCCCTCCTCCCTCTCCCTCCTCCTCCCTCCTCCTCTCCCTCCTCCTCCTCCCTCCTTCCCTCCTCCCTCCTCCCTCCCCCTATCATCCCTCCTCCCCTCCTCCTCTCCTCCCTCCTCCCTCCTCCCTCCTCCCTCCTCCCTCCTCCCTCCTCCCTCCTGCCTCCCTCCTCCCTCCTCCCTCCTCCCTCCTCCCTCCTCCTCCTCCTCCCTCCTCCTCCTCCTCCTCCTCCTCCTCCTCCTCCTCCTCCTCCCTCCGCCTCCTCCGCCTCCGCCTCCGCCTCCGCCCCCGCCTCCGCCTCCGCCTCCGCCTTCCGCCTCGCCTCCGCCTCCGCTCCCCTCCGCCCGCTCCGCCTCCGCCTCCTCGCCTCCTCCTCCTCCTCCTCTCCTCCTCCTCCTCCTCCTCCGCCTCCGCCTCCGCCTCCGCCTCTCGCCTCCGCCTCCGCCTCCGCCTCCGCCTCCGCTCCTCCGCCTCCGCTCCGCCTCCGCCCCCCTCGCCTCCGCCCTCCGCCTCCGCCTCCGCCTCCGCCTCCGCCTCCGCCTCCGCCTCCGCCCCGCCTGCTCCGCCTCCGCCTCCGCCTCCGCCTCCGCCTCCGCCTCCGCCTCCGCCTCCCTCCTCCTCGTCCTCGTCCTCCTCCTCCTCCTCCTCCTCGCTCGCTCGCTCGCTCGCTCGCTCGCTACCTAAGGGCCAAAGGGGTTCGAAGCCCTTGCATACAGGGGAAAGAGGAAGGCGAATACAGCACCCCCTAACGTGCACGTGCAAGAGAGGGGGGGAGAGGGGTGAAACGGAGAGCTCAAGTGTCACCATCCACAGACCTGGACGAAGCCTGGGCCAGGACGCTGGAGGCCAAACCGTACGCCGAACATGGAAGCCTGCCAGCATCACTCCTGCGGGCAGCCGCGTGTCCGCACCTGTGGGGACACCTCCCCCTGCAAATCCCAGGCTGGAACGCGTCCAAGGAGACCCCAGGCGAGGCGACAACGAGGGTGGGGAACAAAAAGGGGGATCCAAAGGTGCACAAATCAACATCACAATGCTGAATCCCAGGGGCCTTTGTCAGACCTCGCACCTCAGGCAACCCATGAACGGCAGGATCAGAGAAATCACGAGAGATGGGCAGGAAGAGGAGGAATGGCACGCAGCAGCGCAGACAATCAAATGCAATCTGCACGGAGGCCTGCACCTGACAATTCTGATTCACGATCCACTCAACGTCCTTTTGTTGTACTCCCCTAGCACACCAGGGCGCCGAGCGCGTTCGAACCTGTCTGGCTCGTCTGGTTTCCACCAGCGGTCTCCATGAGCTGGCCTCGGGCTCAAGGAGAACGGCCGCCACTTCACCAGCAAAGATCCTCCTCCTCACATCCCCAAGATCCTCCAGAGACGGGGGGGTGCAATCAAAGAGGCAGGACAGGGGGCGAGAGGAGGCAGAGGGAAGAGCAGCCGTCATGACCGCACGTTCTAAATTCCCTTGGACCGTGCAAGGGTGCCCCCAATAGCATAGCTGAGCATTGCTTCGCACAGGCACGGGCCTAGGCAACCAAGACACACAGGTCGGGAAATCCACAGCAGGGATGGCAACACTCGGAAGTTCGACGGGCAAGTCGGGTCTGACTCGAACGAGGGGACGAAAGGGGGGTCCTGATACACGCTGCGCAGGCACGTCGGCAAAGGTGTCTCCTTTGCCTCTGCGGCGGTTTGCACCTGCAGCGGCCTTGCGATTCACAATAGCTTGGTCAAGCTCGGTCTGCGTGGGTCGCAGCGGCGATGCAATCCAAGTGGAGAAGCACGATAGGGCTCTATGCAAGTGCTCCACCAGCCTGTTCTCATCCCAGAACTGCCAGCAACAAAAGGGGCACATAGTGCCCGTGGCAACCATCTCGGGCGTCTCGGGGGGACGGTGCGATTTCTTGAGATGAATCCTGAGCATTCTGGCGCTGCGCGCCAGGTGCCCACACTCATAGCACACAAAGCCCAAGCACGGGGACGGCGGAGCATGCGCAGCCTCGACATACTGACCCCTCGACGGTTCATCAGGACTGCCCAACGGTGCACGCACAAAGGCGAGAGCGTTAGAGCCCCCTGCCGAAGGGCTGTTGGCCGCATCAGGTGCGCCAACACGGTCCTGTGAGCCTGCCAAGTGGGGCGAGCCACTGATGTCGCTGGACTGCGAGTATACCAGCACGTCGTCGTCGCTACGTCGTAACCACATCTCTCGCTGTATGATGTGCTCGAGGCCTATCTTGGTGAGCGACTGTATCAGTTTGCGTCTCCACGTGGCTACAGTTCCATTCACCTTCCAGATCCGCTTGGCTGCTGCAGCAGCCTGTGTGACTAAAGAAAGAAACTCAGCTTTGGATTCTCTGGCTAACCTTATAAGCGATGTGTCGTCAGATCCATACGCATCTTCCCCACCGTTGTGAAATCTCCTCATCCACTTTAAATCGCACCTCAGCCTAGCACACCAGCCGATGTCCCATGTGAAGTCGAGCATCTGGCGTAACAGTGGCGAGGATGCATGTAAAATCCTTGGCAAAAACCGCAAACGCGCAATTGATAACACTTGCTGCAAAGGCA